TAGTGTAGGCTATAGCTATACTAATCCTATTCTATAGACTAGATGCTTAGCTACCTAGCTTAGATATAGGCAACTTACGCTTAAGAAGAAACTATATTTTAAAGACGAACTTAGATAAAATTTAATATATGTTTAATCTTATATATAGAATAGTTCTACCTATATAGAAGATAATACTATTAGAGTTTCTTTAGAAGGAAGTAGGCATCCTACTAGTGAGTGTCCTACTTTAATATATTTAAGAATAGGTAGTAGTCTAATACATAATACTAGATAAAGTATATCTAATTAGTAAAAGGTTATAATAATTATAAAGAGAAATTAAACTTAATAAGAAACTACTTATTATAGAATAAATAGCCCTCTAGTATTTAAGGCTCCTTTAGACTATATATTATACTAATAAAATTAAAAGACTAAGACTTATCCTATAGAGGTTTTTTAGTAATATATAAGTAGAAGGGGCTATAGAGAGGTAGACTAAAGAGAACACTATAGTAGAGTTTAAATATTAGCTTACTAGCTAACCTATAGACTATATAGTCTTTAGTAATAGCTCTAAAACGAATACTAATATAGTAGGATACGGCTTTATTATTTTCTATTATAGATAACTTCTAGACTAGGGTTCTAGATAGCTAGGACAATAAGAAGTATTTAATATTAAGATATATAGTACACTTATAGGACTTAAAGTGGCTATATAGTAGAATAGCCTCTATAAGCTAATTATAGTCTATATAGATAATACGTCTATAATTAACTATATTAGAATAATAGTAGTAGACTCTTTATAGGCCTATTTCTAAGAATTCTAAAGGATTAAGGATAAGCACCTATATTTAATCTTAGTTAAATAGTCCCTTAGCTATACTAGTATCTTTAGTAATAAGCTAGCTAACTAACTTATAAAGTATAGTACTATACTCCCTATAAATAAGTATCTACTATCTATCTTATATAGGAAAAGATAGATAAAGATATAAATAAAGATTAATTACTAAGTCTAGTAGGTATTAATTAAGAGAATAGAGTATCTAAAGCTTAGCCTAGGAGTTAAGCTAAAGTAACTCTTAGAACTTAGCCTTCCCTACTACCTACTTAACTATCTCTTAATAATATAATTATAATATAGTAACTTTATAGAATACTATAAGAGATTCTATCCTAAATAGGCGACACTAGAGTGCCCTTATAGGCGCTAGAAATCGCCTACCTATCTTTTCTACTATAGAAAGATCCCTAGCTATCTCTAGGTTTAACTAGACCCTAATCTAGAGATAGTAATAGAGAAATTTCTTAGTAGATCCTATAAAGTGTATATACGTATTACTAACTTCTATTATTTAAAGATTAATAAGTGTATATAGTACTTTATAGAGTATAAGCCTAGTACACTCTATATAGTATTTAGTTTAAGTAGTTAATACTACTTATTAAATATTTCCTCTATTTCCTTTATTTTAGGCGATATACACTACTAATAGTAGGGCTCCTACTAGTCCCTATAAAAAGACTAACGTCGGCCACCCACTTGCGGGCCACACCCACTTCTGGGCCACCCTTTTACACTAAAATACGCCTTTTTTAATATTAAATAATATAAGATATATAGAGGATAGAATTCTTATAAAATATATTTAATTAGGAGAATACTATAGAAAAGTTATATTCTAATTATTAATACTATACCTAATTTCTTTAAATTCTAATAATTAGTTTAAGAAAGTTTTAAAAAAAGTTAAGGTTAATTAGTATTTTACTAGTAAACCTTAACATTATATCTTTAATTTTCTTAATTTAAGGAGAATTTCTAAAAATCTAATATTTTTATATTAATTTCTTTATATTATAAATTATCTTTATATAGAATCTTTAGTCTTCTTATTAGATAGCTATTTAATAATTCTTTAAATATTTAAAGTGGAGAAAATTTAGTAAGGGAGAAATTTTACTTAATTAAAAAATATTATTATATTAAATATAATTAAAACTTATACTTTATATAAATCTTTATTTAAAATAATATATTAAGAATTTCTTTATATTTATTCTAATAAAAGTGGGTTTTAGAAAGTAAGTTAAAAAAGGTGTATTTTAGTGTAAAAGGGTGGCCCAGAAGTGGGTGTGGCCCGTAAGTGGGTGGCCGACGTTAGGTGATAGAAGTTATTAGTGTAATACGTGTATAGTAACCACTATAGGTGTATAACACTAGTATTATTATAATCCTACTAATAGGTATTAATTTAAATAGATATATACTATTAGGCGTAATACTACTATAGTTAGAGGATAATAGTAGGGAGAGTATTCTAGGGGCAACTAGTGAGAATATAGGCGCGCGCCGCCCTATGGGGGCCTACTAAGCGGGTACGCCTACACGTTTATCTGTAGAAGGCTTGATAGCACGTCTAAAAGCCTACTCTAGGGCGCTAATAGACGTAAATAATCAAATCAAATCAAATCAAAGGCCAGGCACTCTCGCGAATTTTCTCTAAAAAAAATATCAGATTGATATTGATGCAAACTGGAGGTGCACAGAGAGGGAAGCTCACACGGCTGATGTGCGTAGAGGTGAAGATTTAACTGAGCTGTGCTGGTATCGAAGACATTCTACGGCTTGAATTATCACGAAATGCCCCGTCAGTCGCTCACTCAACATAGTCTTACTTCTTTTACCCTACAAAGGCACCCGATTACTATAAGAGTTTTAACATTTTCTAGAAAAAAGAAAAGCCATGTATTTCTTAGTAAGTAAGAGACGGGGTATTTGTATTTGTTGTGTAGCTCATTAGGTGCTGATTCTGCAAGGCACAACTTCACGACCAGGGCAACTGCGACCTCTCAAAACTTGGACGCCATCCTCCTCGGATTCCATCTCCGTATTAAATACAAAGCATGCTCAAAAGCCCCATGTTGCTCGCTCCTTTCAGAGCGTTTTTCTTTTTCGGCTGATCATACGGCTGCGGTGCGTTGTAGCCATTCTGCGGAGTCCCCTTGGCCATGGCCAGTTGTTGAGCAGCATAGCCCTTGTTGTCTTGGTATGCTGGCTTGGAAGATCCGCAGCCCATGTTGAATGCTGAAATTTGAACGTGATATGCCGTGTTTGTTGGATTGAGGAATTTGGTCCTGGCTGCGACAGCAACGTGAAAAGCGGTGCGGTAGATAACGCCGATGTACTCTGCAGATGACGTGGAAATAGATGAAAAAGTTGGTATAAATGAAGGAAGTGGTTGAGATGAAGCAGTTGGGAATCGTCTTTACAAGATTTAAAAACAGTAGCATCATAAATGTCCGTTCACCGAGTCGACCCCTGCAAATTGGTCGCCCGTTGTAAAGTGTCAATGTCGTCATGATCTACCGCAACGCAAACAGGCTGCGCCGAAGCAGCCAATAATTTCACACGCGCTGAGACTTTTCGTGACACAGCGGAAATACGGCTCATTAAAAATAAGCAGCACCGAGCCTTACAGGCGCTGGCGAGGCTGGCCGATCCTGCCCAACAGGCCCCAAGACGGCGGCCAGGTCCGCTCCCCCATATAATCGGCTTGAGAAAATCAAGGCAGACAATTATGTGCGTGCGACCAATCATATAGGCTTGTGTCGGTCAGGTCTTGTACAGGTTTTATGTTCCCCGAGGAGGAGCTTGAAGCTCTTCCGATGATGAAGCAGTTCGCGTGTAAGTAAATTCCAGACAATCATAAATTTAAGCTTACTGGCGCTGTGCTAGTAAAGCATTAATGGCTGATGGTAGATTGTTCGCAAGATCGGCCGTTGCGCTATATTAACTCAAGACTCGGCTAGTCACTAAATTACTTACAATACCACAAGATAAAGCTAAATGACTACAGTCTCCGGCTAGCCTGAAGAGCTGCATGCTAGTTCGACGGATTCGACAAGCTGTCGGCGAAAAGATACCTCAACTTGCCGATCAAGGCGACCTGGCCCGAAAGTGAGGCCGCACAGTTCGCCCAATGCATTCATGACCTCGAAACCAACATTCGCCAGCCAGCCGCAGCCTTGTCGGAACGACGTTGCGGACTCTACATCAAACGAGCGTCTCGAGGTAGGATAAAAATCGTGCTTTTCATTCAAGCAGAAAAGACTATACGCATAGTAAAGACGCATCTTTTTTACATTGTTTCTTTTTGAATTGAAAGTAACGTATCGCAATGCGAACAAAGAAGGCCTCGTGGCAAGATCAACATGTCAGCCGCGTGGATCGTCACTTGGAGGGCTGAGACAAAATGCGACGCTGGGCAAGAAGCTCCGCGCAGGGCCATACGGGATGAAAAAGGCATGCATAAGCCGACCATGGAAGTCTGAAGATCTGCTTCATTTACTGGAGTGAGGACACAACAAACTAGCTTGGTATCGAAGCTTTAGACGCTTCTTCTCTGAGCCCGACTTTGCTGCATTTTCATAACCATGGTACTCCCTCGAATCAGATTTGAAGCGTTTTTATAATGCCATACAAGATCCTTGCCGTATTAACTCTCGTATCCAAGTACAAGTCATACATCTCGATCTCGTGCATGTCGCCTTGCAGCCTGCGTATACCAAATCAAACCGGGCTGTGAGCGTACTCGGCAGCAACTTTCGATAATTTGCTTAAACATAGCCCGTCTATTGTAAACGGTCATCTGTAAAGAGCGCGAGTGCTTGATCCTATAGCCTTGTTGAACTGACGTAAGATTTTAACAGCATTCATCTTGGTTTGTCTGCGATTGTTCTGCCAGTGCTGGCGCCTCTGCCTCTCCGACTGCATGCTAGTACGCACAGGATACGTTGCTTTCAACAAGTCTCCGAGGCTGTACAGACTGGAACGAGAGTAGAAGAATTTATCTGTTGACAGGTTGTAAAAGAAGTAGTATAAAAAGGCAAGCATATCCCGTCAATATTCAGGAACTTCAGCCAGAAGCATACAAACCACCACTACAATCATTCACCATACAAAATCTCAAGATTTTTCTCCATCTTTCTATCTTCCCACCGCAAATATGAAGTTCACCACTTTACTCGTTGCCAACCTCGCCGCCGTGGCCTCTGCTGCTGCCATTGAGCCGGTTCAGAACCAAGTTGACATTTCTCTGCCTCCCGGCTGCACCAAGCCCAACCTCATCAGTAAATATACACCGTCTTTTGCCCCCCAGCTTCTCCAAAGCATCTCACTAACGGCATTGCAGAGTGCGCACTTCGTCTCGTCGGCACCACTGCTTCTTGCGGCGCTGCCATCATCGAGGTCGGCGCCAATCCGGTTGCCGACCTGAGCTGCATCGGTTCCGCTGCCAACACGGCCGCCAAGTTTGACGAGTGCAAGAAGTGCATCCCGCACAAGCAGAACCTTATTGAGAACTAGGGGGTTGTTCTTGATGAGAGCCGGGCACAGGAATAACGGGGAGAAATAGTTGTTGATTGACGACAACTGTGAAGGCTACATGATGTGCCTACCTGTATAGTGGGCATGGCGGAACGTTTGTCAGTAGCCTCCAGTCAATAATGGGTGAGAATCTATGCAAATCCCCAGTCAATAATTCTATTTAAATTGTGTGGTGTAAAGTTATGAACTCTCTATAAGAAAAAGACTTATCTTTAAATATTGGATTCTTTACTGATAAAAATGTTTTATAGCTCCTGAGATGTGATCGTTAGATCTGTGGCTGTAACTAGTGCATCGGCAATTTCTTCAGTGGCCATCAACACTTCTTCGTGCTGACCCGTCCGCCAACAATCTGCACGCCGCACAGGATACCGCGTAGCAGCTCATAATCATCTTGAATAGCATCATTACCCGTTCTGAACAGTTCTGGGCGCGACCCTGCGTCGCCAATGGGGTAAGCCAGGTGCTGCGATAGGTCTCCCAAGACTAGGGGTATGGCCAAGTCCGGAGATTTCCCCAAACTTCCGCCCCAATCGCGGGGTAATTTTGGTTTCGTCTGTACTTTCGATCGGCATTTAATGCCGAGTAATCTTGGGGCCCAGGTTTGACCGAACCGCCGACCCGCATCGTACTCCTTTCAAAGGACGTATAGACAGTCCACCATGTGGCATTTTTATTGGTCCTAAGGCTTCTTTTTGTAAGCCTGTTGCCAATTACTTACAAAAGGCCCGTGGCGACAATAATGACACGCGTGCAGACGGATGGTGTCATTTTGTGTGGGCACTGGTGCATCTGCAGGTTGAATTTCGGGATCACCGCCGCTACGGGGGCAATGTGCAATCGACCTTCCCGATTCAGCCCGCTTTACATATGGGTAAGTCGATAGACAAATTCTCCATACCAAATCTATTGTGAGTGGACATATCGCAGGTCTCGGTGTCCAATGCCGAGCGAGCATCATTCCCAGGTGGTGGGCCGCTGATCATTTCAAAGTTGGTGACGGCATCGAGGCTGCGGTGACTCGGCAAAGGCGTTATGAGTGCATCTGCGGCCCGAAATGCGAGCACCAAGTCGCTGCCCAATCATGGCGAGTCCGGCGGGCACACAGAATTGGAGGCCAACCTCAAAAACTAGAAATACTGGCCGAATGACGACATGACAAGCTGAAATTTCATTTTGTTCCATCGCCGCACCCAGGCTTCAAGTCCACAACACCATGTATTTCATCGCCGAGCTTCTACGATTCCGTCCAGAGGCGACCTTGCTCGCCGTGGTAGCGGCAGTGGGGATAGGGCTGGTCGGCGCATATCACTTCGTTCAATCGAACAAAGGCAGGCCCTACTCGGAACTCCATTCCAACTTGGCCATGGAGTCTAATTGTTAATTCTTATGATTGTAGCCAAAGAAGACGATGGAAAAGGGTTTGTGACTCCGGCGCCTAAACCTTTACTCCAGTTCAACCCCACCACCGCCGAACCCCAGCTCTACCGACCATTCCGCCATGGGCCCAATCACATCACGATGGGCATCCGAAAGCTGGATTGGGACAGCTGGATTGAGATGGACTCCGACTTTCTTCGTTACCATGACCTCAAAGTCTCCGAGCTGCAGAAAAACCTCGGCGCCCATGTCCAATATGTTGACAACGCGGTGACTAGGGAAGCTTGCTTTGAAGTTCTGGAGGAACTAGCCAAGTACCTGACAGCGCGCTATCCCAAGATCTTCCAATGCAGTGATGGGAGCTTGGCAAATACTCTAACCGGGGAAACGTTTGAGTATCCTGCCAGTAAGTGTCCTTTTGTTCATGACCCCCCGCTGGTGTCTTTAGCCTCCGCTCACGACAACTTTAGCTACTCCTACTGAGGCGTTGACGACTGCAGCTAAGTTGGTGCAGGATGACCTTGTACTCATGATAGAGAACGATGGTGAGCCCTCATTGTGATGCCGAGACGACATAGCAACGGCACTAACAATTCCGGCGATAGATGGGAATTATCACCTTGATGCCGGAGCTGTTTGCTTACCCGGATTCTGGCGGTTAAGTGATAAGTTTCGCATGTCTCTGGACACTCTCCATATCGAGACCAAAGTTCCACACTATCAAGAAAAGCTCCAGAAATCCATGAATCGATTTTTCAAGACTATGCGCCCCGAAAACGCCGTTGTTCGCAACAATGTACGACGGTACCATTATACAGTACTCATATGGAAGTGGCTAATGGCCGTATAGTTCTTCATTCAGCTTGATGATGGGCTTCATTGGTCCCATCGAATGGGAGACCAGGACGGCAAGGATGTGGCTTGTAAGTGACATTGATAACCTTCGAGCACCGGGCTCTAATAATTTTCAAGCTTGGGCAACTGCGAATTCTGCGGGTGTGACTGTTAAAGACCTTTACTTCCGATCGGAGCGACAAACTCTCAGACGGCTCCCCCGCTCTGGCGCTCTCATGTTTACTGTTCGAACTTACTTTGAACCCATTACTGCTGTTGCCGAAGAGCCTCATGTTCCGGGACGCTTGGCGGAGGCAATCGAGCAGTGGGATGAAACTGTGTCTACGTGGAAGGGCAAACACCACTGGGCTGATATTCTGCTCCCTTACCTGCATGAGCAGGAAAGATTGCAGAAGGAATCGGGCTTGCTTAAAAGGGTTGCCGAGGGAGACTATCCGTTCTAACTGCGTGGAATCTTTAGCAGTCCATTAGTGGAAACAACGAGATGTCAAGATTGTCTGCCTGAGTGGGAGAAGGAAGGTTACTACCAACATTTGCCTTCTTACAGGCCAACGTTTACAGACAGTATTACTAAGCCCTTTCCTTATTTTCAAGATTATAAAGCTGCCACGGGTAATGATAGCCGGGCAACGAATATAGAGGAAAGGACTAAACTAATTAAAGCTAGATATAACAGTTTAGACGAAGTGATTTTATAAGGGTTATAGTATAGTAGAGTAGGCGATTTTAAGATGCAACTGACCGCCGTAGGATAAATACATTATAGCCATACGTGAGTAGTCAAGCTCTTAGGAGATGTAAGGGGGGAGTAGGTGGTGCCGGCTAGGGTACTGACTATCCATCTACATACTATCTATTACAAACGTATAAAGGATATAGATAATAAAGGAAAGACAGCCTAAAGATGTAACTATAGGGCACCTATAGAATACTTAGTCTAAGGTAGGAAGTTATATAACTAAATCACTAAGGATTATAGTAATCTAGTAGTATACTAAAGATTACTTAGATTATAAGTAATCTAAAGAATTATAAAGAAATAGATAAGTATATATAGGAAAGGGATTTTTAGTAGATAGTTAGTCTAGATCTTTACTAATTAATCTAAGTAATAGTTTACTTATTAAAACTTAACCTTTTAATATTAAACTTATAACTACTCTACTTAAGTATACTTTATATATATTAAGTTAAACTTACTTCCTAAGAACCTACTATAGATTAGGACTAAGCCACTATTATATTAAACTACTATTATACTATCCTAGTTCTTAGTAAGTCTATAGATAAAGTAGATATTAACTATAGTATTAAAAGTATAATATTGGATTTAGGTACTAGTATCTTTACTCTAGCCCTAACCATCACTACTATGTACACCCTAATCGTTCTACTCTAGTAAAGATTAGGAGAAATGGCTCACCCTAGATAACCCTAGAGATAAAAGCAAACTAGTTCCTAAAAATTAGATCCTAAATACTACTATTAGAGAATAGAGTTAACTACTAATAATATAAAGTTTCACTAGAGTAATACTAAGTAAAGAATAAATAAAAACTAAGCTTATATTCAGCCTATTACCTAATAATACTAAAGTATAATAGATTAAGAGAAAATTTCACTAGGGCTATATATTATATAATAATAAGATATAATTAAATAAGCCACTATAATAGGGCTGACTTTTATATCTTAGTGCACTAATAACATTAGTACTATAACTACTACTCTATAAATAATAATTACTTTCTAACTTATATTAATATAGTATATTCTATCTATAGAAATTCTATAAAATAAAGTATTTAACTAAATATATAGGATAAAATATATCCTCTTCTAATTAGGCGAACACCTAAGGATTTTAAGGAAAATAAAATGTTACTATAAGCTAGTGTTTAATAGGGTTCGTTAAACGTATTGGTTAGTAGTTGTCTATTCTTGCCCAGGCTTGCACTTGATGTTCTTGCCCAGGCTTGCACTTGAAGCTGAGGCATGGCTTGCTGAAAGGTGTGGAGGCCTAGTAGAGTGCGGCTATTAACGACAGCCCTAGCGGCTCACTAGTGTGAATTCATACTGCGTGCGTATTACTACTAGTTAAGAAGCTTCTAGGCGACGCTTATAACGATGTTATTTTGATGCCTTAATGTTAAATAATAGTAGTTTTATATAGTAATACTGTGCTTTAATAAGCTTTATAGTTAGTAGACATAAGTGAGTAGGGGAGTAGTGAAGGTGGACTAGACTAACTAAGACACTAGCCGATTAAAGCTATAAGGTAGTATAGAATATAAAACTTTAATCTTTTCTACTTATAGTTTTATTTTAAATTTTATATACTTATTATAACTATACTCAATTATAATAAGTACTTATAGTATTAGTTATTTAAGTAATAATATTATACCCTTAAAGCTAGCTTCTATCTCTTATTTATATAAGTAATAAAACACTTATACTTACTATAGATAGGTCTACTTACTATAATAACCACTCCTCTAACTAATATCTTCGGCTGAATAGCCTATAGCTTCCTATGTTTAAACTTCCTCTCTTTTACCTCCTCCTTTTACTCCTCCTCTAGTCGTTATTATATAACTATATCTTCTATTAATACTCCCACTATTAATTACTTAAGTAGGTCCATAATTTTAACATCTTTTTCTCCTAGCCTTTAAATCTCTGTCCTAAGAAACACATACTAGTTAATAAAATATATAATTAGCTACTTCTCTATATAGTATACTTCCTACTAACCCACTATACTATAATTATACGTATAAGGTTAAAGCTTAAACTTAAAGAGTGTATATAATTCTAACACCTTAGTTATCCACTCTTAACTAGTAATATAAATCACTTTATTCTCTCTATAGCCCTAACCACTTATGGCTATAATATCTATAAATCCCTACGCGTAATACAGGCTAGTAATAGTGTTCTATTCGCTTAGTAGGCTGAACTAAGTCGTTAATAAGATAAATAGGTGGCTCTATCTACTACTATACTTAAATATAAACCCTTCTAACTATAGAGGCTGATGGCTTAGCGCTTTATTATCTAACAGCCGGATAATGTGCTCGTGGTCGAGATCACGGGTGTACGAGTCCTCCTTATATATAGGCTCGCTAGTTAAACCACCTACACGTATCCTTCGAGCCCTTATATTTCTCTTTATCGGCTTAGTGAAGTCTACTATAGCGAGTTAGAGGCTACTATTATAGATGTATTAGAGCGATTTATCTACACTGTGCTGTAAAAGGATCTACATATTCTCTAACCGGCCCTAAAATGCTGCTTCTATGAGTAGAGTTCGGCTGTTAACATCTATAGTGTTAATATTAGCGCCCTTTATAATAAGGAGACGAATCATCTTAGGATACTACTCTATAGTAGCTATGTATAGAGCTATTTCCCTAAACGTATAATTATTAGGTTATATAGAATATACTTTATTATTATAACTAACTATTATAAATACTATAAGACATATAGATAGGGCTAAGAGATATAAGGTGAAGGTTTATTATACTAGCCGCTAAAAGGATAGGAGATTATATAATCTCCTTAGGATTAAAGACTTAAACTATTAAGCTATTAATTTAAGAATAGGATCTAAGGGATTAAAGGTTAAACCTTCTAATTTAGAATTAGAATAGAGAGGTAAATAAATACTTAAGAAGGAAGTATTCTTATAACTAGGTAGTCTATATCTCTACTAATTAATTTAAGTAATAGTTCTATTATTAGGAGATATTTTTTAATATAACTTATATTATAATAACTACTTATATACATTTATATATTTAAACTAACTCTCTACTTAAGAAATAGACTAACTATAGATTAGGATTAAGCTACTATTATATTAGTCTACTTTTTAAATAAAGAGTTAGTTTAAGTATATAAATATATATAAGTAGTTATTATAGTATAAATTATATTAAAAGATATCTTCTAATAATAAAGCTATTACTTAGATTAATTAGTAGAAATTTAGACTACTTAGTTATAAGAATACTTTCTTTTTAAGTACTTATCTATTATAGATACACTAAGGTACTATAGATAAAGGGTAGAGTAGTCTAAAAAAGTAACTATAGAGTGCTTATAAGAGTCTAAGAATAAAAGAACTAGTTATATAACTAGATTACTAAGGATTATAGTAATCTAGTATTAATCTAAGATCACTAGGATTATAGGGTAAACTAAATAATCTAAGTAATATAGTAGAGGATAGGATAGATATATAATAAAGAGGATTCTAGTAGATAGTTAGACTAGATCTCTACTAATTAATCTAAGTAATAGTTCTACTATTAAGAGTAACCTCCTAATATAACTTAAACTATAATACTACTTATCTATACTTTATTATATATTTAATCTAACTTACTTCCTAAGAAATAGATTTACTATAGATTAGAGATGAGCTACTATTATATTATCTACCTCTCTACTATAACTCTAGATTAGAAGGCTTAACCTTTAATCCTTTAGATCCTATTCTTAGATTAATAGCTTAATAGCTTAAGTCTTTAATCCTAAAGAGATTATATAACCTCTTATTCTTTTTAGTAACTAGTATAATAAGCCTTATTCTACCTTACTTAGCCCCACCTATATACTTTATAGTATTTATAATATTATACTCTAAGCTTTTATAATACTAATAGTTTAATAAGTACTTAATAGTATTTTATATAATTCTATTATTTATATTTAAAGCTTAATTAATTATCTAATTACTTACTTTTATAAAAGCTTAGGCTATAGTCTAACTAGACTAATAGCCTAGTAGCCTAAGGTATAGGGCTAATAGGGGGGGGGGACTCCCCCTTATATATAGTAGCCACTTTATTATAACCTCCTTACCTCTTCCTCTATAAGAGATTTAATTTAAACCTTATATTAACACTTACTTATAGTAACTATAAGGTTAGTCCTTAATAATTAAATCTCTTCTTAGTTTTTTTTTAATTATTATAATAAAAGTAGGGTAGTCTTTTTAAGATACTCTAATAGACTATATTAAGTTAGTATTATTAAATTAAACCCTACTTAAATAAAATAATAAACTATAAATAGAAATATAGCTTCTTTAAAAGTAACTCCTACTAACTAGCTCCTAGGGCTAGAGTGGATATATATAGCCGCCTTTATAGACGACTATTAGTATTAAACTAGTATTAACTTATATAGTTATCTAATAAAAGCCTCTCTTATAGAGTAAAAAATTTAATAAAAATATAAAAACCTTTATAGGTTAAAAGTAAGTAATAGAGTATAAACTAGAAATTAATAAAGTCTTTATTAGTCTACTATAAGCCTAGTTTATATATATATAGTTAAGCCTTAGTTTAATTATATAATAAAAGGTTATAGTTTACTTTAAAGTAGGAGGCTATTAAAGGGAATTAGACTCTTATTTATTCTTAAGTTA